GCACCTGGTATTTTTGGCCACTGTGTGACAGAGTGTTGGACTGGATGGGCCATTGGCCTGATCCAACATTGGATTCTTTATGTTTATGACTGAACCAGCAGGGCATGGCTCATAAGAACATAAGAGTAGCCAATCCTGGATCAGGCCAATGGCCCATCTAGTCCAACACTGTGTCACACAGTGGCCAGAAATACCAGGTGCCATCAGGGGACTGGATGGGCCATTGGCCTGATCCAACATTGGATTCTTTATGTTTATGACTGAACCAGCAGGGCATGGCTCATAAGAACATAAGAGTAGCCAATCCTGGATCAGGCCAATGGCCCATCTAGTCCAACACTCTGTCACACAGTGGCCAAAAATACCAGGTGCCATCAGGAGGTCCAGCAGTTGGGCCAGGACACTAGAAGACCTCCCAGTGCTGCCCCCCCCCCCCAAGCACCAAAGCAGGCAAATAGCAAGGCTATCTCGAACTGGCAACAGTGACAGAAAGCCCCTGGCTATTGTTGCAGGATATACACCTCTTTTCCAAGCCAGATACTTGCTGGTCTAACACCTTCTAGCTGGGGGTGAGAGGATGGAGGGACATTTGACCTACCAAGCAGTACTTCCTCCCCCATTTTGCATTCGATAATGAATTCAAAATCTTTGGGGCGGGTGGCGGCACTGTAACTAAACAACCCAGCACCCAACTGATCACAAGAGAATAGCAACTCACCATTTTATTGAAGTGGTACTTGCAATAGCCGCAGTATTTCACATTGTCGACTTCTAAGACTTCTTCTTCGCACAAGAGCCCGGCCATCTGAGCACTGAAATTTGGAAACGCATTGATGTGAGTGTCGCAGATCATGGGAAGGCGGCAATGCCCCCTCTCTTGCCGGGTTCCGCTCTCTTTCCCACCAGGGCAAGCAACTCTGCTCCATCTTTGCTCTACAGGGAACTTTTCTAGTAATAAAAAGGCATACAATGACAGGGACAGATCAAGATGGGTAGGCGTGTTAGTCTGTCTGTAGCAGTAGAAAAGAGTAAGAGTCCAGTAGCACCTTGAAGACTAACCCTGAGCCCGTTCGCGGGGAGGGCGGGGTATAAATGCAATAAAATAAATAAATAAAGTAACAAAATTTGTGGCACAGGATGAGCTTTTGTGAGTCACTGCTCACTTAGCACCTTAAAGACTAACAAAAATTGTGGCAGAATAGGAGCTTTCATGACTTACTGCTCACCTCTTCAAGAAGTGAGCAGAGACTCACAAAAGCTCCTCCCCTGCCACAAATTTTGTTAGTCTTTAAGGTGCTACTGGACTCTTGCTCTTTTCTACAACGACGGGGGATTTGATTTATATCGGCCCTGGCCACACGTGCCGGAAACCGCCGGGGGGAGGTGTGGCTATTTGCGCCGTCGCATTCTGATCCGCTATTATGCGATCAGATGCGACAGTGGCGCACAGGGGTTTTGTCCTTCGGTGCGTGCGCTGCAAAGAGGACAGCCGGAGGGAATAGGCGTGCGCCGGCACGATCACACCGAACAAGTCCGTCTGCAGCCCATGGCAAACCATCTGCTAGTAGATCTTTGCAGGTACTTTTTAACTGTGCATCTTCGGCGGCACGCCACTGGTTGGCCACAGATGTGCTTCCAGATGTTCCGGTGTGATCGCGCCCCGAAAATCCGCCCAGCATTCGTGCCTTTCACGCGGCAAATTCTCCGTGTGACCAGGGCCATTAATACATTTATACCTGTTCTTTCAAACACAAAACTCAGTGGTTTACAAAAAGCAAAATGCTCCCCCTTGAATTTCGGAATCCTTCCAACTATTGGCCATCTGCCTTTGTACTTATCAGCCCTTAACGCTCCACAATTGCGCCGAGCATTTGCACTTGCTAGATGCAATACTCTTCCATCTGCTGTTACCTATGGTAGATATAAAGGGATTCCATACTCAGCTAGACACTGTGCATGTAATCAAAACCAAGTTGACTCGGTTTTTCATATTCATCTACACTGTCCCCAATATGATAAGATACGTCTTACCTGTTTAGATCCAATCTTATTTAATATGATAGGCTGTCCAGACGCTTTTAAGGTGCGCTACCTCTTGAATGGTTTGTCACCCAAAATAACTGAAAATTTACCCTCTTTTTTAAGTTTGGTAATCAAGGACCGTCTGCACAATGTATAGATGTACATGATTGATTCATTTCTCCTTGTTACCTATTTATCCACTTTTGTTTCCTCCTGTAACCTAACATATGCCAATAAAGGTCTGTGTATATGTGTATATATGTGTAAAAAGCAAAATGAACTTCTTCACATACACAAAAATCCCACATAAAAATGACCACATCAAACAGCCTCCTACATCCCAATCACAGTCCGTCTGGCTTCCGCAATAGAGAGTAATAGCAAAGATGGCTGCCAGTTCTCTCACGGAAGCCAAAGGTACTTCTCTGAGGAAAGGGAACGGGCAGCAGTGACGTTTGGACTGGTCTAAGGGAAGAGAGGCTGTTTCTCAGATACGCAGGCCACGGTGCTTCAAAATTGGGGTGACAGACCTGTGAGCACTAAGATGCTTACGCAGAAGGCCAGTATGAGGGTAGTAAAATGGTTAGAGAAGGGGGCCTCCAAATGTTTTGATCCAAGGGGAAGGTTGCCATTGAGAAGTAGGAGCAGGAGGAGGAGGAGGAGAAGGAGGAGGAGGAGAAAGAAGAGGGAAAGAAGAAGACGTTTTTATACTCCACTTTTCTCTACCTTAAGGAGTCTCAAAGCGGCTTACAATCACCTTTCCCTTCTTCCACAAGAGGCACCTTGTGAGGCAGGTGGGTCTGGGAAAGTTCTGAGGGAGCTGTGAGTGACCCAAGGTCACCCAAACAGGCTTGAAGCCTAAAGAGGCAGGTCATTTTTTTTTCCAGGCAGGTTTGCAGCCCTACAGTCTCTGTGTTTCTAACCTACCTCATAGGGATGTTGTCAGGAAAAACAGAAAAGGAGAGAACCAGGTATTCTGGTCTAAGTCTCCCTGAAGAAAGAACAGGTTAGAAATATGGTAGATTCAGGGAGCAATCCTACGGAACTTTACTAAGAAGTCCTATTTTATTCAGTGAGTACTGTTCCCCGGAAAGTGCCCTTAGGACTCCAGCCTCTTCCAAGCAGCCCAAATCAGTATATGCAGAACTAGGAATGGGCAAAAGGATTAGAGATGTTGGCAGGGTTGCCAACAGGCCAGGAGAAAAAATATCCTGTTCCTTTCATGGAGGCTTATTAATAGGATGTGATTTACCTCCATGCCATGAAACGCTTCAGCTGCCCGGTTCCACATGTTAGACCTCTGGGAAAGGAATAGGACATTTCCCCCCAGGCCTGTTGGCAACCCTAAGTGTAGGAGAGAAGACTCAAGCTGGGTAGGGTGAAGCACTCTCCTAAGACACAGCTCCAAATGGCACCTGCCTCCTCCATTGCTCTTAACATCTGGGAGCAGCAGGAAGGGGGAGGGCAAAGTATCTTGGGCATTTTGATGAAGTGGTTTGGGGGTGGTGGTTAAGAGCGCGGGCTCTAATCTGTGAGAACCAGGTTTGATTCCTCACTCCTCCACATGCAGCTGCTGGTATGACCTTGGGTCAGTCACAAGTTCTCTCGGAGCTGTTCTCTCAAGAGCGGCTCTCTCAGCCCTACCTGCCTCGCAGGGTGTCTATTGTGGGGAGAGGAAGGGAAGGAGATTGTAAGACGCTCAGAGACTCTGAGTGAAGGGCGGGGTATAAACCCAATCTCTTCTTCATTATTAGCAAAGGGGCTGAAAATATAACGGCCAGCATCACAGTGCTACGGCATAGATCCACTGTGAAATCCCAGAAGAGCAGCTGTGTTAGTGTGCTGCAGGGTCTTGTGACATCTTAAAGACAAACGTGTTTATCGTGGCTGGAGGTTATTCCAGTTGCTTCACAACCAGCACAATCAACCCATGGCCTTCTCAGTGCTCAGAGAGGCCAGATATGAGCATGGAGCTGTGGCTGGTTGGACTGGAATTACAGAGGCCTGGGTTCAAATTCCTATTCTGCTGTGAAGTCTACCGGGTGATCTTGGGCCAGCCCCTCTCTCTCACCCTAACCTACCTCCCATGGTTGACATGAGGACATGAAGAAGGAACTATATCTGCTGTTCTCAGCTCCTTGAATGAAAGGTAGAATAAAAACGCCCTACACAGAGAGATGCTGTCAAGACTTAAGGGGTTGGATCCAACCACCTTTTTTGCTGATGAGAAAGAAAGGACAGGGTCCCCTCTGACCACCCAAAAAAATCTCTGCTGGGGATCATGGGACCTGCATGAATAAAAGCCATGTGGGAGGGGGGCTGTAGCAGAGAGGAGAACTGGACGAGACCGAGAGGAAAAGATGGCTGGATCCAACCCCTGGAGAAAGGCATGGTCTTAATGTAACATTTAGATGAATCTAAGCTGCATCCGAATGGCAGCTTTCTCCAGGAATGGCAGAGTTTTTGAAGATGGCCAGCATACTGATTCGGCATGCCAGAGGCTAAAATTATAAAGCACTGAGACAAGAGTTGCTGGCTGACCAGGAGAGGAAAATCAGCATACTCTGACATTGTTAATAGTACACAGTAATGGTTATCTCCATGGCCCACTTGCTAATTCCTATACATCAAATGGTTATTAAGAGAAATGGCTACAGTGACCAGTTGAAAAGTTGGTAGTTCTTCTGAGTCTGGTACTAATTCACTACTGCTAAAAACGGCAAATAAGCAGGTTTTAGACTGAATCAAGCCTGAACTCGTCCTGGAAGCTAAAACAACTAAATGGAGGCTACCCTATTTCGGTCACATTATGAGAAGACCAGAGTCACTGGAAAAGACAACAACGCTAGGAAACATTGAAGGCAGCAGGAAAAGAGGAAGATTCAAGATAAGACGGATTGACTCAATCAAGGATGCCGCATCCATCACTTTGCAAGACCTGAGCAAGGCATAAGTCCTTTCCACATTTATGCCTGCCACTCTGGATTTTCTCAGTGTTTGAGTCGAGGCAATTTAAATCCATGGCAAAACGGCATCCAAATAACCCCGGAGCAACAGCAGGCTGAAACCGGGCTGGCCACTGAAGGAAGGTAGTGTAATGCAGAGGGGGGGGGGGGAACGGAATAAAAAGAAGGTTGAACTCAATTTTAATGCAGAATTGCTTGGAGGACGCTGCGGTGAACATGGATTAAAAGGAGAGTGCGGAAAGGGCCAAAGAGACTCCACACACACACACACAGAGTTCAAAGACAGCCAGTGTGGTGAAGCGGTCAGATTGACAGGACCAGACCTGGGAGATGCAAGTACAAATCCCCACTTTGCCAGGAAGCTTGCTGAGAGACAGGGTTGCCAACAGGCCTGCAGAAAGAAGGTCTTGTCTCTTTCATAGAGGCTTCACAGGATGCCCTGAAAGGCTTCCGCTGCTCATTTTCACACATCAGGGCATTTTCCTCCAGGCCGGTCGGCAACCCCAGATGGCAGAAAACCCAGGGGGAAACCTGGGAGGTGCATGGAAGTGCCACGACGCTTTGGGGGAGGAGGCAGTAATACCTGCTTCCCACAACCATGGAAAGCCATTGCCGGTCTGAACAGCCAGGAGTGACCTTGACAGAGGAAGAACAAAGACCGAGTCCAGTGGCACCTTTGAGCCCAACAAAGTTTCATTATGGGTATAAGCTTTCAGGGGCTGCGGTGGCTCAAGTGGTTAAGACGCTGAACTGCAGACCGGAAGGTCGGTAGTTCGGCAGTTTGAGACCCGAGTGCCGCATGACAGAGTGAGCTCCTGTCTCTGGTCCCAGCTCCTGCCAGCCTAGCAGTTCGAAAGCAAGAAATTGCAAGTAGATAAATAGGTACCGCTTCGGTGGGAAGGTAACAGTGTTCTGTGCGCCTTGGTGTCTAGTCATGCCAGCCACATGACCACGGAAACGTCTTCAGACAGCGCTGGCTCTTTGGCTTGGAAACGGAGATGAGCACCGCATCCTTAGGGTCGGATTTGGCTGGCTTTCGAGCAAGAACCTTTACCTTTACTATAGGCTTTCATCTGAAGGAGTGTGCATGCACATGAAAGTTTATGCCCAGAGAATTAAACTGTGTTGGTCTCAAAGGGGTCACTGGACTCAGACTTTGTCCTGCTGCTTCAGACCAATACGGCTGCCCCACCTGAAACCGTCTTGACAGGCCAAGGATCCAACTCAGCCTCATCAGGCATTCGTTGAAGGAGGAGCCACAGCTGAGCGCAGGGGTCGTTTCGTAGAAAAAGAGCTAGGGGAACTCATTAGCATAACTCATTAGCATATGCCACACCCCCTGACATCACCGGAAGTGTGTCTTAAGGCCACACCCACCACTCAGTTAGTCTTAGTCTTAAAGGTTAGTCTTAAAGGTGCTATTTGTTAGTCTTAAAGGTGCCATTTGAACTCTTGGACTATTTTGCAGCAACATACTAACACAGCTACCTTGGGGAAGCTCCTGAATGGGGCTGGGAGTCCTTGCGGAGGCCACATGGAGTGGCCTTGGCCAGGCAGAGGGGGAGGACACCAACTTACCCTCCTGCTTCTTCCTCCTTCTGCAACAGAATGAGGCTGGAAGCAGGGGGTGGCCGGAAGAAGGAACTGTGTTCCCCTGCGATCCCCCCCGAATCGACCTCTGGCTGAGCGGCAGAGCTCCTGCTCGGCATGCAGGAGGGCCCCCTCCGGTGCAATCCCTGGCACGACCAGCTTAGAAAGCCTGGAGGTGATAGAAAAGGCTCCCATCTGAGATCCTGGAGAGCCACCACCAGTCCAAGCAGACAGTACTGGCCTTGACAGACCAAGGGGTGCCTCAGCGAAAGGCAGCTTCATATGTTTAAGCCCTGACATGGATAGCCCAGGCTAGCCCGATCCTGTCAGATCGCAGAAGCTTAGCAGGGCCGGCCTTGGCTAGTGTTTGGATGGGAGACCTCCAAGGAATACCAGGGTTGTAACGCAGAGGCAGGCAATGGCAAACCACCTCTGAGATGTCTCTTGACTTAAAAACAAGTTTAGCTCACCACTAATACTCCCTCTAAGCTGTGGAGTCTTGCGAGCAAAAATTCTACTTTGTGAGCTTACTGGCATTAAAGTTGTGAGCGAGCCATTTGGGTGCTACATAAATGAGTTTGTTCTGGAGCCATCCTTCTTGAGCTAAGACAAAAATGCGTGAGCCGGAGGCTAAAAAACTGTGAGCTAGCTCACGCTAACTCAGCTTAGAGGGAACACTGCCACCTAGTGGTGCATAGCACTAAAGGAGTTCGAACTTGTGCCTGCCAGACAATCTTAGGATCTCCTGGCTATCCTACACGCACTGCCATATGATAATCAATCAACCATTAATTATTATTAATAATTACTATTAAGTTACGAGGAAGAAGGTTCAATGTTTCCGAAGTGCTCGCATCTGCCTGCAAAACTGCTTAGGGTGACTCAGTTACTAGAGGCAGCCGAGGTAACGATTCTACATCCCATCCTGCAAAAGCAAGAGGGCGATGGGGTGCGTTTGGGACACAGGGAGCAGGGCAGGGACAGGCAGACCGCCTAGGCAATGGCGGCACTGTGGCAAACTCACCAGGTGACATGGAAGGCTTGACGACAGCCGTGTCGGTTGCAGGTCATGCAGGCTCCAGAGGCTGCTTTGCTCTCCCGGCCTTGCTCCTCGCAGATGTAGCAGATCTGAAAAGGGGGGGGGGAAAGGCACAACCGCCTGCCTCACACATGCTGGAGACCACCTTGTGCCAGCAAAAAAGATGTGCACCTGCCCCAGCAAGGGAAGAGGGGCATTAGGACGTCGCCCTGGGAATGCATACAGATATCAGGCCCTCAGAAAGCAGAGAAGAGGGGGAAGTTGAAACAGGGCAGTAGTCCGCTAGTGTCAGGGTTGCTAGGTGTGTCCCCCCCCCCCGGCCACTGATGGGCAGTTGGGGGGGCCCAGGGTTGCCAGCTCCAGGTTGGGAAACTCCTGGAGATTTGGAGACAGGGACCTCAGTGGGGTACAATGAAGAAGAAGAAGAGAAGAGATTGGATCTAGACCCCACCCTTCACTACCCAAAGGAGTCTGAGTGGCTTACAAATTCCTTTCCCTTCCCCTCCCCACAACAGACACCCTGGGAGGTAGGTGGGGCTGAGAGAGCTCTGACAGAAACTGCTCTTTTTTCAAGAACAGCTCTGACAGAACTATGGCTTGCCCAAGGTCATCCAGCAGGTGCGAGTGGGAAATCAAACCCGGTTCTCCCAGATTAGAGTCCACGCACTTAACCATCTTCCAAATCACCCGTGTTATCCAGGGGAACTGATCTCTGTTGGCTGGAGAGGAGCTGGTTGAAGGCTTCTCCCCCTTAAAGATAAAACTTTCCACTCTGATATCAAAGAGGGTTAACCTCGGCTTAGTCAGAGAGGACTCTTATGTTTCCCACCGGGATAAACTTGTCGAGCAAGGACTACAGCTCCTGAATCTTTCCTTGGACTCCGTTTATTCAGTTACCAGACAGGAAGCCATAAGAAGGATTCAGAGATATCTATTTAAGTACAATTATAACAGTACAATCTGTAGGGCACGTCGTGTTTGTGTGACAAATATATTAAAATATTAGACATGAAGAAAACTGTGATAGAATAAAGAAATTTAAGTACAGGTGAAAAATCAAGAGCATATATAAATAAGCTCCAATAAGTATTTCAGGAGGGATGCTGAAAGACCTGAGTCAGATTGAGGTGACGAGAGAGGAGGTCCTACATCTGATAGACTACTTAAAAACGAATAAATCACCAGGCCCGGATGGCATACATCCGAGAGTTCTGAAAGAACTCAAATGTGAACTTGTGGATCTCCTGACAAATATATGTAATCTTTCATTAAAATCTGCCTCCATTCCTGAAGACTGGAAGGTAGCTAATGTCACTCCCATCTTTAAAAAGGGTTCCAGAAGAGACCCGGGAAATTACAGGCCAGTCAGTCTGACGTCGATACCGGGTAAATTGGTGGGAACTGTTATTAAGGAAATATTTAGTAGGCACATTGATGAACAAAAGCTATTGAGGCAGACTCAGCATGGGTTCTGTAAGGGAAGATCTTGTCTCACTAACCTGTTAGTGTTCTTTGAGGGAGTGAACAAACATGTGGACAAGGGGGATCCAATAGATGTTGTTTACCTTGACTTCCAGAAAGCTTTTGATAAAGTTCCTCATCAAAGGCTCCTATGTTAAGCTCAATAGTCATGGGATAAAAGGACAAGTCCTTTTGTGGATCATAAACTGGCTAATTAATAGGAAACAGAGAGTGAGTATGAATGGGAAATTTTCTCAGTGGAGGGTGGTAAGCAGTGGAGTACCACAGGGATCAGTAATCAGTCCGATGCTTTTAAACTTTTTTATTACTTATTTGGAGTTGGGAGTAAGCAGTGAAGTGGCTAAATTTGCAGATCACACGAAGTTTTTCAGGGTGGTAAGAACCAGGGAAGATTGTGAGGCACTCCAAAGGGATCTGTCAAGGATGGGCAACTGGGTGCCAGTGTGGCAAAGAGGGTTCAATGTGGCCAAGTGCAAAGTGATGCACA